TCTCAGTTTTACCAACAATCTCTCTTCCTTTCTTCTCTAAACGTTGGAAATCCACTTTCTGTTTTACTCATATCTTCTGCACACAAAGGGGCAGGAAAAAATAAGATGTCATCATTCTCCCCAGAGTGAGGTCCAAGTGAAAGAGAGATGGTTCAAGTGAAAGAAGTTCTTGCTGGAGAAAACACTATGAGTAGGTGAGGAGGACCAAGTTTTTGGTAGATGCCTGTTCCCAGGGAAAGACAGAGCAGGCAAGTGTGAGAAGTCCATACCTGAGAATACCCTAATGAAATAGTCAATGTTCAACCATTTCAAGAGTTAGCATATGATCAAAAACCAGTGGCAGTGAAGGAAGGAAGAAGTCCAAGCTACACTGAAGGCACTGGTGAAAAACAAGTCTCCAAGAAGTGACAGAATACCAACTGAATCTTTCAACAAAGTGATGCAGCACTGGAGGCACTTGCTCATCCTTGCCAAGAAATTTGGAGGACAGCTACCTGGCCAACAAACTAGAAGGTGGTAGTGGTTATGTGCCGTGGAGTTGGTTCCAACTCATAGTGACCCTAAACAGGTGTTTTGAGGCTGCAAATCTTTACAGGAGCAGAAAGCTTCATCTTTCTCCCATGAACAGCTGGTAGTTTCGAACTGCTAACTTTGAGGTTCACAACATACTAGAAGAGATCCATATTTTTGCCCATTCCAAAGAGAGGCGATCAACAGAATGTGGAAATTATCAAACAATATAGTTAATATCACATGCAAGTAAAATTTTGCTGAAGGTAATTAAAAAATAGTTGCAGCAGTCCATCAACAGGGAGCTGTCAGAAATTGCAGCTGGATTCAGAAGAGGATATGGAAAGAGGGCTATCATTGGTGACGTCAGATGGATCTTGGCTGAAAGCAGAGAATATCAGAAAGATGTTTACCTGTGCTTTATCAACTACAGGCTTTCAACTCTGGATCAATACAAACTATGGATAACAATTGCAAAGAATGGGTATTCTAGAAAATGTAATTGTGTTAATGAAGAACATGTACATAGACATAGAAGTAGTTGTTCGAACAGAGAAAGGATAAACTGAATGGTTTAAAATCAGGAAAAGTGTGCACCAGGGTTGTATAATTTCCATACTTATTCAATCTGTACACTGAGCAAATAATCTGAGAAGATGGATTATATGAAGAAGGACTGGATAAGACTCATTGAATTGGAGGCAGACTCATTAACAACGTGCCATATGCAGATGATACAACCTTGCTTGCTGAAAGTGAAGAGGATTTGAAAGACTGATGAAGATCAAAGACTATAGCCTCCAGTATGGGCTTCACTTCAATGAAAAGAAAACAAAAATATTCACAACTGGACCAATAAATAACATCATGATAAACGGAGAAAAGATTGAAGTTGTCAAAGTCTTCATTTTGCTTGGATCCACAATCAAGAGTCATGAAAGCAGCAGTCAAAAAATGAAACAACATGCAGTATTATGCAAATCTGTGCCAAAGATTTCTTTATTCAAGAGCAAAGATGTCACTTTGAGGACTAAGGTGTGTCTGACTCAAGCCATGGTATTTTTCAATTGTCTTATATACATGTGACACCTGGATAATGAATAAGGAATACTATAGAAGAATTGATGCATTTGGATTATGGTGTTGGAAATGAATAATGAAAATACCATGGAATGCCAGAGAAACAAACAAATCTATGTTGGAATAAGTACAACCAGAATGTTCCTTAGAAGCGAGTATGGGGAGATTTTGTCTCTTGTTCTTTGGACATCTTGTCAGGAGGGACCAGTCCCTGGAGAAGACTATCATCCTTAGTAAAGTGGAGGGTCAGTTAAAAGGAGGAAGATCCCCAATGAAATGAATTGACACAGTGGCAGCAACAATGGGTTCAAAGATAACAACTGTGAGGATGGTGCAGGACCAACCAATATGTCATTCTACTGCATATAGCGTCACTATGAGTCAGGACTGATTCAATGACACAGAATTATAACAACAAATATCCATCAGTGGGGATCTGCTGAATAAACGATGATACATTCATATTAAAGACTGTATCCAGTAAAAAGAGTGAGGCAGTGTTGCGTATAAGGATAAGGGTGATTTCTTAGATATATTAATTGTAGAAGGCGAGTTATGTAAAGGATGCTAAAATATTTCATGGGAAAAAATTGTACACACACACTATATTTCTGTCCCAATGTGCTTGTTTACACTTGCACTATCTCTATAAGGCCATAAAGAAATTTAATTGTACTTGGTGGGGACATGAGAGGGTGTGGGATTTATATTCATTCTTCCCTTTTGTAATTTTTATATGTTACCAAGTGCACGTGTTACCCTTTAAAATATTATTGTGAAATATTTAAAACAAAAAGAGATGCCATTTTTTAACAATTCAGTGACATTACCATGTTCTGTAACCATCACCAATATGCATTTCCAAAAGTTCTTAATCCTTTCAAACAAATTCAACACTCAGCATTAATTCCCATTCCTTCCTCCCTTTCATCCCTAGTAATCACTGACATACTTTTGTCCTTACGTATTTGCCTGTTCTTCATGTATAAGTAGAATTGTGGAGATTAGATTTTTTAAAAAAGTGACTTATTTCCCTCAGCATGTCTTCAAGGTCCATCCATGTTGAAGTAGCATGCGTCAGAACTCCAATTCTCTTTCAGACTGAATAATAAATATTTGACTGTATGTCTGTACCACACTTTGTCTCTTCTTCTTCTCACAGGCATTTCTGTTGTTTCCACTCTTTGGCTATTGTGAATAGAGCTGCAATGTGCATTGGAGTGCAAGTGTACATGTGTTACCTTTAAAACATAAATAAATAAAATATATATTTTTAAACTTTTGCTTTTGAGGTAATTGTAGATTCACAAAGTGATTGTTTTTAAACAAATTTCCAGCTGCCTCCTCATCACTAAAAATTTAACCCATACCACAGCCCTTCTTCAGGGTGTGGCCTGTGCTGGCAGCTCACCACTGGGTTCATGTTCAGCAAAAAGCTCCCATATGTGTGATGGAGAGCTGTGTATAGAGTGGAGAACAACCCAAAGGAGAGACATGAGTGGATATTTACTTTTCACTCTATATCCTTTATATAGTTTTTGTATTCATAATCACGGGCATATAGTATCTTTTAAAAAGCAAAGTTTTTTTTTTGTTTTTTTTTTTTAAGGTAATCTCCAGTTGCCTCCTCAGAATCTCTCCCATTTTCCAATAAACCTTGGCCCTTCTTGGCTTACCTGGTAGTCCTTCTCTACTTTAAAAGGGAGGAGGTAGGTGTGCAGTAACCATAGAAGAAAAGCATTTTACTGATGGGGAAATTGGGATTTAGTGGGGTAGCAATTGGTTCACTTCCTCGACTAAACACAAATAAAAATAGGCGGTTCAAACTCGCCAGCTGCTCCTCGGAAACCCTACACAGGATCTCTATGGGTCATAATCGACTTGATGGCACTTAACAACAACAACCAACGAGTAGTTAAGGGAACAATCATTTAGTGCCATGCAGTCTATTTGTTGTTGTTAAACGCTATCGAGTCAGTCCCAATTCATAGTGACCCTGTATAGGGTTTCCAAGGAAGTGAGTTTGAATCATTGACTTTGTGTCTCAAACCGACCTTTATTCCACAGCGCCACACCAGGATTCCAACTCATAGGGATCCAATATGACAGAGGTGAATTAACCCATGTGACACTGCGGATTAATGTACTGGACTGCCAAATCGGTTTGAACCTCAAAGGTCGGCGGTTCAAGATCACCAGCAGCTCGTTGGAAACCCTATACAGGGTCGTTATGGGTCGGACTTATGGGTCGGACTTCCGACTTATGGGTCGGAAGCGACTCGGTGGCACTGAACAATAACAGAGTTTCCTTGGACGCTAACCAAAAGGTTGGTGGTTCGAACCCACTAGCGAAGAAAAGACCTGGGGTCTCTGCTCCCTAAAAGATTTCTGCCTAGGAAACCCTATTGGACAGCTCTACACTGGCAGAGCTCTGGTAGCGTAGTGGTTATGAGTCGGGCTGCCAACCTCAAGGTCAGCAGTTTGAAACTACCAGCGTCTCCGGAGGAGAAAGGTGAGGAGTTCTGCTCCCATAAAGATTTGCAGCCTCAGAAACTTGTAGAGACTCACAATAAACAACAATACCATACCACAATAGGGTTGCGCTGGGTCAGAATTGATTACACACAACAGTCTTTATGAGACAGAGACGTTGGGTGAACTTGAACTTGGACCTTTCAGTTGAATGCTTAACCACTGTGCAGCCAGGAGGCCATCGAAACAAAAAATGATCAGTGATTCTACCTTTTAGGGTGTAATCTTGAGGGACTGGTAATACTGAGTCTGAATGACCCCACGGTACTCATTTGCCTCCGAATACTTGTTAAGTGTCATCGAGTAAGTTAGACTCTTAGCGACCTGAATGCCTCATTTTTCTCCCGCAGATCGACTGGCGGATTGGAATAGCAGGAGCACAGCTTTGTAAACTCTATACAGACACGGTCGCTATGAGTCGGACCTGATTTGACGGCACTTAAAAACATTTCGGTTAGCAGTTGAGCGCAATTACAGCGTCACCAGTGCTCCTTAAGGGAATAATGCTGTTAAACATTTTGGTGTTGTTTCCGACTCTTAGCTACCCTGCATAGGGTTTCCGAGGATCGGTTGGTGAGTTTGAACCGCAGACCATGGGATTAGCAATCCAGTGTTTATCCTACAGAATCATACTAGGACTCCAACAATATGACGCCTAATATCCTCGGAAAATTGCAAAACAAATTTAAGAAGGAATCTTTACGATTTGAAAGGGCAAAAAGCGGGAACGCGTGTCATGCCGGGATTTGTAGTCCTTTCTGGAGCAGATGCATAGTGAGGCTGCGCAGAAGGCCAGCGCTCTTTCTGGCGCATGCGCGCGGTGGCGGCGGCAGTACTAATAGCTGCAGATCGCGGGGCGGTGTTGGTTGTCTGGGAGCTCAGCATGGCGGCCCCTGCGGCAGCCTTGGGATCCTCAGCTCTGGGTCAGAGTGGTCCTGGATCGATGGCTCCCTGGTGCTCCGTGAGCAGCGGCCCATCGCGCTACGTGCTCGGGATGCAGGAGCTTTTCCGGGGCCACAGCAAGACGCGCGAGTTCCCGGCGCACAGCGCCAAAGTGCATTCAGTGGCCTGGAGTTGCGACGGGCGCCGGTTGGCTTCAGGCTCCTTCGACAAGACAGCAAGCGTCTTCTTGTTGGAGAAAGACCGGTTGGTGAGCTACCAAGGCTGGGCCTAGGCCCGGGAGAGGGGCTTTGCTGAGAGAGGGGTGAAGACTGATAATGAGGCGGTCAGGAGGTGAAAAAAAGAGGGAGAGACTTGGGGGGGGGGCGTGGGGGTGAGGAGGGCTTGGAGACCGGGAAGGACGTGTGTGCTCATGAGGAGTAACAGGGGCAGCGTGGGTGGTTGGGGAGTAGCCCTTTTGACAGTGACCTGTCTTCTTATGGGAATGAGTAAGTGGGGCCCGAAGTGATAGAGTAAGGGTGGAAAACAGGGAAGGAGGAAGATCAGGAACCACAGAAGGGTTAAGGAATTGGTGTGGATCCCAGCCTCAGACAGAATGATTGGGGAGGAAGGAAGGGAAGTATTCCAAAGAGTTTTTGAGAAAGGATTTAGAAGGATTGGATTCTTTTTGATTGTCCAGATCTTTTGAGGTCAGAGGATACCAGGATTTAAATAAGGATAAGAAGTTAACACCAGGAGTTTTGGTGTGGTGCTGTAGGATAAACGCTGGAGTGCTAACCACAAGGTCGGTGGTTCAAACCCACCAGGCATTCCTTGGAAATTCTATACAGGGTCACTGTGAGTCAGAACCAACTTGATGGCACTTAACAGTAAGTTTGCATATGGAGGCAGGTACATCTGTGTGACGTGACATCTGGACTTTTTTCTTTCAGGTCAAAGAAAACAATTACCGAGGACATGGGGATAGTGTGGACCAGCTTTGTTGGCATCCGAGTAATCCTGACCTCTTTGTCACTGCATCTGGAGACAAAACCATTCGCATCTGGGACGTGAGGACTACAAAATGCATTGCCACTGTGAACACTAAAGGTGACTATTTAGAGAAGGCAATAAGAGGAGAAGTTACTTTTGTTCATGTAATAAGTACTTACCTGAACTTCTTCTCTGTGCTTGGCTCTGTTATTGTTAGATGCCATCATCCACTTAGTTCTGATTCATAATTGACCCAGTGCATAATAGAATGAAACACTGCCTGGCCCTATACCATCCTCAGTTATATTTGAGCCCATGGTTACTGCTGCTATCCATGTTATTGGTGGCCTTCCTCTGATTAGCTTACACTCCACTTTACTAAGCATGATGTCTTTATCCAGAGAATGGCCCTTGCTGACAACTTGTCCAAAAGACAAGAGAGGAATTCTTACCATCTCATAAGGAACACTCTGGCTGTACTCCTTCCAAGACAAATTTGTTTGTTCTTTTGCCATTTCATGATACTGTCAATATTCTTCTTCAACACCATAATTCAAATGTATTGATTCTTCTACAGTATTCCTTATTCATTGTCAACTTCCACATGCATAAGAGGCAATTAAAAATACCACGGCTTGAGTAAGTCACACCTTAGCCCTCAAACTAATATATCTTTGCACTTGAACACTTAAAAGAGGTCTTTTGCAGCAAATTTTGTTTCTTGACTGCTGCTTTCACTCATGTTTATTGTAGATCCAGGCAAAATGAAGTCCTTGACAACTTCAGTCTCTTCTCCATTATAATTATTGGTACAGTTATGAGATTTTGTTTTCTTTATGTTTGAGGTGCAATCCATAGTGAAGGCTGTAGTCTTTCATCTTCAATAAGTATTTTTAGTCTTTGATCTTCCAGTAAGCAGTGACATGATTCACCGTATATTGGAGATATGTACAAGGTGGATAGCCAGAAGGGAAATGTTTGAGTCTGCCTGAGGGAGAAAAAAGGCCTTACAGAACTTGTGCAGACTCTTTAGAGTCATGGCAGGAATTTAATGGCCGGCATGTAGTGGGTGAGAGAACCACATTTGCAAAAGCATGGATAATTTGGGAAACTCCTGATAGTTTAGAATGGCTGAAGCTTCATCTTGATGGCCTCAGAGGAAATGACCAGAAAGTTGCACAGTACATTAATAGGCTCTGTTCTTCCCAGCCACTGTCCTGGGAACCTTGAAGCGAGTTATTTATTGTTTCTCACTGACTCAGAGATGCCATTGAGTATAAGGTGTACCAACATTTTATGTGCCATTAAGAAAGAAAATAAAGCTGCCAGATAATCATGATTTAACTCAGGTCTCCCAAAACCATGCCTACCGCTATTGAGTCAATTCCTACTTACAGGGACCCTGTATAGGATTTTTGAAACTGTAAAACTTTATGGAGCATACAACCTCATCTTTCTCCCTCAGAACAGCTGGTAGGTTTGAACTGACCTTGCCTTTCCTAGCAGCCAAATGCCTAACCCACAGTGCCACCAGGGCTCCTTTACCATGATACACCATAGATTTTGAGGTGATCATTGATAATATTTAAAGATGCATCGTAGATCTTAAATGTAAAGAAATATACATCTTAGAGTCAATGAAGTTATTGAAATTTTTAGTAGGTGAATATGGTGTGGGGCACTAGACTTTGTTAACAAGGCTTATACTGGGAAGTGGAGTGGTACAGTGCTCTCCCAAAGTGTACAGCTGATAAGTTAGTTGGCATGTGGCTGAAGCTTTGAAAAAGTTATGTTCGTATTTTAATGTCTACTAGAAAAAATAACTGGCTTATATGAGTGGACTTCAACAGTTAATGGAAAAGTGAAATAAAAAAATAATGGAATTTTTCCACAAGCTTTTTGAAGTCTGTTCATTTAGAATTTGAAGCTAACTTATTTTAAACAAGTTCGGTTTGAATTGCAAGGCTGATGGTTCAAGCTCACCAGCTGCTCATCGGAAACCCTACACAGGGTCACTGAGTTAGAACTGACTTGGCATCACTTAACAACAACAACAAACTTATTTTAAATTATATTTTTAAGGCAATTTTAAGAAAAAGTATAGCTGTTATGTACATAGAACAGAAATCGTGAAGATAGTTTGTGAATGACTAAAGTTTAGCAAATATTGGGGTAAGACAAATAATGGACTTTGGACTTAGGCCAGGGTTCTGCCATTTTCTAGCTTTGATATTTTGGCTAGACTCTCACATCTGTGAAACAAGGATAATGAAGTCTACCTTAGAGAATTATTATGAGTACCAAATGAGGGGCAATTTGTTGATGAATGAGCTGCTGCTGATCCCTAAGTGGTATTCCCATTCACAGTCTTGTTGTTAGACATAGCGAGCTTAATAAATGAGCCGTTGAAGGGCATCTATTCTGGCCTTATTTTAGGATAGCAGAATAAACTGTTGAAGGATTATGAACTCACAAGTTACCTTGCTGGTTGTATCTGTGTTCCCAGGGGAGAATATCAATATCTGCTGGAGTCCTGATGGACAGACCATTGCCGTAGGCAACAAGGATGATGTGGTGACCTTCATCGATGCTAAGACTCACCGTTCCAAAGCAGAAGAACAGTTCAAGTTTGAGGTCAATGAAATTTCCTGGAACAATGACAATAACATGTTCTTCCTGACAAATGGCAATGGTTGCATCAACATCCTCAGGTAAACTGGTCCTAGCTTAGGAGACTGTCATGCTTTTCCAAGTCATTTATTCATTTGACACCTTCAGTTGAATCCCTCCTATGTGCCAGTACTTTGGGGGATACAGAGATGAATTAGGTGTGAAGGACTTAAAAGGAAAATAGCAAAGAGTTGGAACATCTATTCAGCACCTTTGAGCCTGGCACTGTACATTTTACTGATTCTTCGCAGAATGAGGCTGATGCTATGCTCCTCATTTGACAGATCTGAGGCTCAGAGAGGTGACGTCACTAGTCAGCTAGTGAGCACTAGAGTCATGGCTAACTCTTAAAACTCAACCCTGAAAAGTCTCAACCTTAAATATCACTTATCCTCCAGGGAAGCCATCTCTGCCACCACCCTGCCAAAGTTAGAGATATGTACAGGGCATATTCTGTGTACTTCCTGTTGGAAGCACTTTTCACTCTATTGTAATTGTATTCATATTGCTGGTCTGTGTCTCTCATTAGACTGTAATTCCATGGGTTAACTTGTTTACTGTGGAATCCCTACTGCCTAACCCAGTACCGCTGCACATGGTATGCTTTCAGTAAATACTTGTTCTCAGAATAATTGAATGTGAGTTGGAATTCAGGTCCGTTTGATTCTATACTGCCCCATGTGAGCAATGAAAGGCAGAGTGGAAATAGATTCATTGATAGAGAGGCTGGGAGTTTGCTGTGGAATCCCAAGGAAAGGAATATAGAGTACTAACTGTGGGCTTCTAAGGAGGCAGCTTCTGAGCTTGGCCTTGAAGGATGATGAGCCGTGCAGTTGACAAAATAGACACGAAGGAGCATGACTCGTTTGGAGAATAGTTTGTCAATCGGGTTGCCCATAGTATGTGGTAGCTAGTATGTGAAAGGAGGGCACGGTAATGGAAAGATAAAGCCGAGTATAATTTGGGACCAGATTGTAAAGGGCTTTGAGTTCTATGTTTAGCAATTTCAACTTTATTCTGTAGGCAGTAGAAATCTCATAAAGGTTTTTTTTTTTTTTTTTTTTTTTTAATTTAAACCTATTTATTGTAACAGAAAACTGAAAATCACACGAAACAGAATATATAGAGCATAATGAACTATTTATTATCTGTTTAACACCCATGTAGCACTACCCAGGTCAAGAAATAGTACTTTGTCAGCCACCTCAGCTGTTCATCCATGTGTTTTGTCCAGATCACAACTCACTCTTCTCAAAACTTTCTTGACTTGTAGAGTAGTCATTTTCTTGTGCTTCTTTATAGTTTATCTCTCAGGTGTGGATATCTAGATATTCTAACCTTGCCCATTAAGAGCAATTTGATGTCTTTTGAGTCCTCAACGAACAGTTCCCCCTGTAACTCTTTCATATTATTTATCTGCTAACAAACCAAACTTCACCTGTGGAGAGTCTCCCAGTCTGATTTTGCTGATTTCATATGTTTCTCACCTATCTGGTCACCCAGTAATATAGTTCATTTAGGAAGGGCAAGATAAATGCTCTTGTACAGCGTCTTATTATCTTAGTGCCACGCTCCTCTTCCTGGCGTTTGATTGATGTGTGGGTTGTTTCTCAGTTACCCAGAGCTGAAGCCTGTGCAGTCCATCAACGCCCATCCTTCCAACTGCATCTGCATCAAGTTTGACCCCATGGGGAAGTACTTTGCCACAGGAAGTGCAGATGCTTTGGTCAGCCTTTGGGATGTGGATGAGTTAGTGTGTGTGCGGTGCTTTTCCAGGTGAGCAACTTTGCCAGTGCTTTCCTTGTTGGAGAAATTAATTTTGATTCAGTTTTATCCAAGATAAATATAACTAAATTTATGGGGGCATTCTGATGTCTCCTCTGTCCACCCCATACTGTAGGCTGGATTGGCCTGTGAGGACCCTCAGTTTCAGCCATGATGGGAAAATGCTGGCCTCAGCATCAGAAGATCATTTTATTGACATCGCTGAAGTAGAGACAGGTAACTAGCAGCTCCATTACCTTCACGAGAGTCTTACGTCTTTTGTCCCTGGCCATTCGGGCTTCTTAAGTGGCATGTGTTTTTATCTGTACACATTAGTGCTTCACAAGGATGACCACTGCCTTTATATGATCACTGTCATAGGCAGGTAATGTCTGCTAAGGAAAGGGGCAGTTAAGAAGGAAAGTTGGTTAGGAAGATATTTTATATTAATCTTCTATTCTTTCACTATAATAAAAAACTTAAAACATAGAATGTTGTTATTGTTAGGTGCTGTGGAGTCGGTTCCAATTCATTGTGACTCTATAGGGTTTTTGAGGAGTGGCTGGTGGTTTTGAACTGCCGACCTTGTGGTTAGTAGTCCAGTGCTTATCCTACAGGACCACACCAGGACTTCAAAATATAGAATATAGAATGTTGTGGTTGTTAAGTGCTGTTGAGTTGGTCCTTATTCTCAGTGGCCCTGTATAGGGTTCCGAGGAGTGAGTGGTTGGGAGATTGAACTGGTGACCTTCATGGTTAGCATTGCTTATCCCAGAGTGTCACAAAGACAATAAAAGTAGACTTTTAATGATTTTTTAATGTTGTGGTGTATTTCCTTCTAATTTTTTTCACATTATGTAGACTTTTAGGATTTTATAGTAGATATACTGTAAAAAATAAAACATTGAAAAAAGAAAAAGGGGAGAAGAGTATATTAGATATATTTTGTATATTTTTAAAGGTTAAGTTTAAAGCAAAGTAAAAATTTTCTATTTAGACCATGTTCTGGTATGGTGCTATAGGATAAGCACTGGACTACTAACTACAATGTTGGTAGTTCATATCCACCAGCCACTCCTCAGAAACCCTGTGTTGTTATTGTTAAATGCCATTGAGTTGGTTCTGACTCAGACCCTATATAAGCATTCCAAGGAGCCGCTGGTAGGTTTGAACCATTGACCTTGCAGTTAGCCATCCAGTGCTTATCCTCTAGCACCACATCATGACTCAAAATTGTGGAAGCAGGAAGCCTCATTTTTCTCCCTCAGAGTGGCTGGTGGGTTTGAACCATTGACCTTGTGGTTTGCAGTCCAGTTCTTATTCTGCAGACCGTTGCGTTCCCCACGAAAGCCTATACAGGGTCCAAATGAGTTGGAACTGACTCATTGGTACACACAGCATATGTAACAACCTCATTTTATCATAGTCCAATTGTTTCACATTTTCAGACACCATACTCATTGCATAAATGTATCAGAACTTGGTGTAAAATGGTAATGTCAGTATTCCACGCTCTGCACCATATATATCAGTCCGAGTGTCAACTTCCCAGTAACTAATAAGAACTAATAAGGTTCTAAAGTTTATGAAGCCACTTTATGTGTACTCTGGTTTCCTTGAACTATGTAATTAAAAAAAAAAAAAATCTTAACCAGTCTCATGAGCCCTGGTTGGTTCTGTAGGATAGGCACTGGACTAGTAACTAACTGCAAGGTCAGCAGTTCAGACCCACCAACTGCTCTTGGAAACCCTGTACATGGTCGCTGTGAGTTGGAACTCACTCAATGGCACACAACAATAACCACCAAGCTCATAAAAGACATGGAGTTAAAGACCTAAGGAGAGTTAAAGACCTAAAGAGGTGGCCCCCTCAGAAACTATTCTTTATGTCTTTTTGTTTCAGAAATGTGCTCTGACAGATAGCTATTGGCTGCCAGATTCTGGTGTGGGAAACTGTCCCTGGAATAGAAATTACTAAAAACTTTACATATGAGTGTGTTTGTGAAATATTTGAACAGTTTTCTTAAGACACAATTGGCATGCTGTTTTAGCCAGGGTTCTCTAGAGATACAGAACCAGTGAGATTCATGGATAGATGTTGTTGTTGTTGTCAGGTGCCATCGAGTCGGAATCGACTCATAGCGACCCCATGCACAGCAGAACGAAACAATGTCTGATCCTGGGCCAACCTCACTACCGCTGCCACACTTGAGTCCATCAATGATGCCACCTGGCTGATCCATCTCGTTGGGGGTCTTCCTCTTTTTCTCTGACCCTCCACCCTACCCAGCATGACATCCTTCTCCAATGATTGTTTCCTCCGGACAATATGTCCAAAGTAGGAGAGACGAAGCTTAGCCATCCTGGCCTCCAAGGAGCACTCTGGCTGCACTTCTTCCAAAACAGATCTATTGGTTCTTTTGGCAGTCCATGGCACTTTCAGTATTCTCCTCCAACACCACAACTCAAAGGCATCAATTCTTCTACGATCTTCCTTATTCATTGTCCAGCTTTCGCATCCATATGAGGCTATTGAAAACACAATGGCTATGAATAGCAGAGAAACATGGATAGATAGAAAGGTTTATTTCAGGTGATTAGCTCACTTGATTTTGGGAGTGGCAAGTCCAAATCCAGGTGGCCGACTGAATATTCCTGCAGGCCTGGGTCCCAAGTTCTGTAGGTGAGTTGATGGAAAGAGTGGTGAGTGAGTTCTGTGAAAACATCTACTTACAGTCCTGAGGGCAGATCCCACCATAAACTCTCTGTGTTGCTGATTGATGACACTCCATTATGAGAGGTGATTACATTGTGTTACATTAAATTACTTTGTGGGATAGCAGCTAGACTCATGTTTAGCTAGACCACTGAGAAACATAGCCAAGTTTACACCCAAAATGAGCCATCACATATGCCATATAATTCACCTGTTTGAAGTACATAATTCAATGTGTCTTGCACTTTTTAATTAACACCATACTATAAATATTACTCTTAACCCTAAGGTTGAACAAAAGTTACACAAAGTTGAAGGAATAAGAGCTTTGGCATAAAATCATATATTACTTCAACAGGCTAGAGAAATAAAATTTTTGGAAAAAGAAATCTACTTGTGAGGCAACATGGTGTAGTAGAGCTGTGGCTTTGGAGGCTGTGACTTTTTTCAGTCTCCTCTTTATCTATAAAATGGAGTTTAAAATTACTGCCTACCCTCCTGGGTTGTCACTGGGATGCAACAAGGTATAAACTATCTGATGTGTGAGTGTACTCAACAAATGGCAGCCACTGTTACCTGTTTTCCCATAGGTTGTAGAGTAGGGGTTAAGAGCTTAGGCTCTAAGTTAACCTATCTGCATCTAGATCCTGACTCTTCTACCTACTGACTTGTGAGCCCCCTGTGCCACAATGTTCTCTGTAAAGTGGAGGTAATGTGTGTACTTCTCTCATAGGGTTATTGAGTGGATTAAGCTGATTGATGTAGGTAAGTACTTCATGTATGTAGGCTCTGGTTGTTAACATATTGATTGATTTGTCTATGTTGATTTCTGTAGGCGACAAGCTGTGGGAAGTTCAGTGTGAGTCCCCGACCTTCACCGTGGCTTGGCACCCAAAAAGGCCTCTGCTGGCCTTTGCTTGTGATGACAAAGATGGCAAATATGACAGCAGTCGTGAAGCAGGAACTGTGAAACTGTTTGGGCTTCCTAATGACTCCTGATGGGAGGACCTGGGAGAGGGACAGAGGTCCCTGGCAGAGGCCTTCCTCTGTGTAGTGAGTTTGCCCTGTTGTCGTGTAGTAAATTCGGACTCAAGAGTGTTGGAATCTACTTGAAGGCTTTGGGGTTTTCCTTGCAGTAAATGGGCATCTTAAGTATTTGTAAATTGATGTAAATTAGAGAAGTTTTCTTTCAGGCCGCCCATCCCCATTCTCTTCCTTTTGGTGATATTAGAAGCCTGTTTGCCTCCCTGTCCCTTCCTTCTTTTCTTCAAGGAACCAAAATCCTGTCCCAGAGCTTTGAGAGAGTAGTCCCAACTCAGCAACCCTATGAATATAGGGCTTCCAAGGAGTGGCTGGTGGGTTTGAACCACTGTCCTTTTGGTTAGCAGTCCAATGCTGATCCTGTAGCTCCACACGGACTCCTAGCTTCTGTTAATACTCCCCATCTCCCAGAAGACTGGTCTACAGCCTGGTGTGTTCGTGATGCCAGTGCTTCCATGGCCACATGAGTGCTCGGGAGTATGGGCAATGAGCAGCATGCCTTCGTCTCTGAAAGGCTCCTGTCTGCCCTGCTCTTCGGTGGATGGGGACTTTATTGGACTTGCTGCTGTTTGTATAATGCCAAGTTTGGAGGGGATGGGTAAGGAAGGGTGGGAAAGGTGAGTTTTTCAGGGGAGTGAGGGGGGTAGAGATTTTTATAATTAAAAAGATATATATAATTTTGAGAATGGAACATTTATAAAACTTATTTTTATTGTGGGACTTTTAAACTTTGTGTTATATTTGTTATGTAATAGGGAGATGTAAAGTTCACCTTTTTTTTTTTAATTAAAAAACATTTTTTTCAAAGATTCTTGTGATTTTTGTCATTCAGTGTCTTAACCAGAAATTGTCAAATGTAGGGGCAAATCATGAAGTGTGTGAGTTACAGCAATCCTTACAAACCACTGGTTACATGTGTGTGCAAGCATGTGTGTATACATATACCTGCCCCATTCCACAATGGATTGGAGGTGGCTTATGACATAAACACAAGGAGTCCTGTTAATGCAGCGGTAACTGAAAGGGTGGTGGTTCAAACCCACCAGCTGCTTCATGGGAGGAAGATGTGGCGGTCTGCTTTGGTAAAGATTGTTACAGCTTTAGAAACCCTTTGGGGCAGTTTACTCTGTCTAGTAGGGTTACTAGGAGTCAAAATCAGCAGCACTGGGTAGGTATGTATGACAAATACTGAGAAAAGTTAAATATAAATAAATACAAAGTGAAGATAAGATAAATAACATTGGCAGTAGCAAGTTAAGATCACAAACTCAAACTAAACTCGCTGCCATCCAGCCGATTTCTACCCTTAATGACCCTGTATAGTTTCTGAAACTGAATCTTTATGGGAGCAAAAGCCTCATCTTTTCTCCCACAGACTGACTGATGGATTTGAACTGCCAATCTAACGTTTAGCAGTCCAGTGCTTGTTCTACAGTGCCATCATGGATTAGGGAAATGAAACAAATATGCAAAGATTAAGGGCCTGATTACATTATGGACTTAAAATTTGGCTCTGAGCACTTTGGTGATAAAGTGTACAGAGAGATAAATTGGTTGTTAGGTGCCATAGAGTTGGTACCAACTCATAGCGCCTCTATGCACAACAGAATGAAACTACCTAGTCGCAGGCCAACTGTACAATATATGCCTGAGCCCACTGCTGCTGCCACTGTATCAATCCATCTCATTGGGGATCTTCCTCTTTTTCTCCAACCGTCTTCTTTACCAAACATGATATCCTTCTCCAGGGACTGGCCTCTCCTGACAATATGCCTGAAGTATGAGAGACAAAGTCTGGCCATTCTGGCTTCCAAGGACCACTCTGGCTGTACTTCTTCCAACGCAGCTGTTAGTTCTTTTGTCAGTTCATGGTACTTCCAATATTCTCCAACACCATAACTCAAATGTATCAATTCTATCGTCTTATTCACTATCCAACTTTCCCATACAAAAGAGGTTATTGAAAATACCATGGCTTGGGTTAGGTGCACCTTAGTCCTCAAACTGACATCTTTGCTGTTGAACACTTTAAAGCGGTCTTGTGCACCAGATTTGCCTAATATGTAGTGTGTCGTTTGATTTCTTGACTGCTGCTTCCGAGAGTGTTGGGTGATCCGAGCAAAAGGAAAGTCGTTAGACTTCATTCTTTTCTCCATTTATATGGATGTTGTGTGTTGGTTCAGTGGTGAGGATTTTTGTTTTCTTTATATTGAGATGCAACCCATGTCGACAGCTGTGGTCTTGGATCTTCATCAGTAAGTATTTTAAGTCCTCTTTGCTTTCATCAAGCAAGGCTGTATCATCTGCACATCTTAGGTTGAACCCAGATAAGTTCTCTGTCACTGTATGGTGGTAGCCATTTTTGTATTTTCTATAGTAAAACTACTAGCACAGGATATCAATGATACAGCCCAATGATAACTGCGTTCCGTTGGGCCACCTCACTTTGGAATGGGCACAAATATAGACCTGTTCCAGTCAGCTGGCCAGGTAGTTGTTTTCCAAATTATTTGGCATTGATGAGTGAAAGCCACCAGTGCTGCATCAGTTGAAAGATTTCAATTTGTATTCCATCTATTGCCAGTGCCTTGTTTGCCAATGCCTTCAATGCTCGTTGGACTTCTTCCTTCATGATCATTGGCTCTTGATCATATGTAGATACCTCTTGAAAGGGTTGAACGTCGATTTCTTTTTGGTACAGTGACTGTGTATTCCTTCCATCTTTTGATACTTATGCATCATTCAATACGCCAAGTCAGGGCTTACATTTTTTCTTCAGCTCCCTCAGTTTGAGAAATGCTGAGTCTATTCTTCCCTTTTGTTTTTTTCACTCCAGATCTTAGCACATTTCATTAACAATATTTGGCTTTGTGTTCTTGAGCTGGTCTTTGAAATTTTCTGTTCAGCTCTTGTACCTCCTCACTTCTTCCATCTGCTTAAGCATCTCTACAATGGAGAGCAAGTTTCAGTCTCTTCTGACATCCATTTTAGTCTTTTTCTTCTTTTTGTCTTCTTAATAACCTTTTGTTTTCTTCCTGTATAATGTTCTTGATGTTATCCCTCAACTCTTCTGGTCCTTTGGTTGTTAGTGTCTAATGCATCAAATTTGTTCTTGAGATGATCTCTTAATTCAGGTGGAATATATTCAAGGTCATATTTTGGCTCTCGTGGACTTACTCTCATTTTGTTTAGCTTCAGCCTGAAATTGCTTATGAGCAATTGATGGTGTGTTCCACGGTCAGTCCCTGGCCTTGCTTTGGCTGATGATATGGAACTTTTCCTCTGTCTTTTTCCTCAGATATAGTCAACCAGATTCCATCTGGTAGAGGTCCATGTGCATAGTTGTCTTTCATGTTGTTTGAAAAAGGTATTTGCAATGAATTCATTGGTCTTGCAAAATTATATCATTCGATTGCCAGCATCATTTCTATCACCAAGGCCATATTTTCCAACCACTGAGCTTTCCTCTTTGTTTCCCACCTTTGTCTTCCTGTTGCCAGTAATGATCAATACATCTTGATTGCATGTTTGATCAATTTCAGATTGAAAAAGTTTGTAGAATTCTTCACTTTCATCATCACTGGCTTTAGTGGTTGGTACATACATTTGAATAATTTTGGTATTACCTGGTTTTCCTTGTAGGTGTATGGATAGTCTATCAGACAGTGTTGTATTTCAAGATCGATCTTGAAATGTTCTTTTTGATGATAAATTCAATGCCATTCCTCTTCAATTTGTCATTCCTTGTGTAGTAAACCATGTGGTTGCCAGATTCAAAATTGCCAGTGTCAATCCATTTCTGTTCACCAATGCTTAGGATATTGATACTTATGCATTCCATTTCATTTTTGACAATTTCCAATTTACCTAGATTCATACTTTGTACTTTCCAAGTTCCTATTATTAATGGATGTTTCTCTTTGTTTTGAGTTGTGCCCCATCAGCAAATGAAGGTCCCAAGGGCTTTATTCCATTTGTGTCATGGTCAATTCAACTTTGAGGAGGCAGCTGTTGCCAGTTACATTTTGAATGCCCTCCAACCTGAGGTGTTTATCTTCTGACACTATATCTGACAACATTCTGGTGTTCTTCACCATGTTTCAATATTCAATATTCTGATGTTGACAGTGTTTCACTGCTATTCATAAGGTTTTCAGTGACTAAATAGTCAAAAGTAGTCCATTTGTCCTTCTTCGTAGTCTGTTTTTGTCTGGAAACTCTTCTGAAACCTGTCCACCATGGGTGGCCTGCTGGTATTTAAAATACCCATGGCACAGCTTCCAGAATTGCAGCAAAACACAAGCCACCACAGTATGAAAAACTGACAGACTAGTGGTGGGCTAAATTGGTTAGCTAATTCTTATGGGTAGACCCCAGCTTACAACAGTGTTTTGGTCTGACAACTTCATAAATTGGTTCTGATGTAAGCTGAATACCTTCTTTGAAAATACTAAAAATTTCAGTGTCTCTATAAATTCAATCTGAACATCTGTGAATGATGACATCAGCAAATTATATTCAGTAACATTGTATAGTACATTGCAACGGGGCTTCAAAAGTTTGTGGAAAAATTGTCTTATCATTTAATTACATCTTCCATGAGTTTTTTGAAGTCCCCTTGTATTAGTAATGATAAGATTAGAAAAAAACAAACAACCAAAAAAAAAAAAAAGTTGTAAGTGCTGTTCATTATAACTCAAATATAATTTTGGACCTACCTGTATTGAAAGAAAGACATGCTAATTCCTCAGGGAAGGCAAAGTTGTTTTTTCAACTTTGTGAATTGGGTGAAGATTTTCAGAGTGGATCACTGTCATTCAGCAGATCATATGTACTTTGTGTCATATCGTTGATTGCAGTCCCCACAATGTCACGTCACTTCCTCTCGGTGTTTCCATTTTCCATTCCTCCTCTCCTAACCCGTTTGAACTGTGTCTTTGCTTAAGTGCTGTCTTTTA